ATATAAATGGAATCACATAATATGTGATTTTTCTGTGATTGGCTTCTTTCAATTAGCATAATTTTTTCAAGGTTTGTCCATGTTATAGCATGTATCAATACTTCATTTCTCTTTTGGTATTGAATAATATTCCATTGTGTGGATATACCACATCAGTTGATGCATATTTGGGTTGTCTCCACTTTGGCTATTATGAATATTGCTGAACATTTGTATCCAGAAGCCTGAATATTATACCTAATGGCAGGCAGTATAGCTACTTTATAATAGAGTATTCTCAATTCCTCCTTCTCATCCCTTATAACAATGCTGTCATTCATTTCACTTATTGGTATGCCATAATTACATTATTGTTATTATTACTTTGAATAAATATAATTTTTATATATAAATTAGATCAATAATAAGAAAAAATAAAAGATTTTATTTTGTCTTCATTTATTCCTTTACTAGTGATCTTCTTTTCTTCATGTAGATCGGAATTTCTGACCTATATCATTCTATTTCTCTATAAACAACTTCTTTTAACATTTCTTGAAGGCAGATTTACTGGCAACAAAGTCCCTCAGTTTTTGCTTGTCTGAGGAAGTCTTTATTTCTCTTTAACTTTTGAAGGATAATTTCACTGGATATAGGATTCTAGGTTGGTAGTTTTTTTCCTTCAACACCTTATTTTATTATTTATTTTGGCCACACCATGTGGCCTGTGAGATCTTAGTTCCCTCACCAGAGATTGAACCCAGGCCCCCTGCATTGGGAGTGCAGAGTCTTAACCACTGGACCACCAGGGAAGTTCCTCCTTCAACACTTTAAATACTTCATTATCTTCTTGCATGTTTTCTGAAGTCAGATTTAATTTTTATCCTTGTATCTCCATAGGTCAGTTGCTATCCCCACCCTCTAGCTTCTTTTCCAAGATTTTATCCTTGTCTTTGGTTTTCTGAAGCTTGAACATGGTATGCTTATGTGTCGTTTTTGGTATTTATCCTAAGCTTTCTGGATCTGTGGTTTTGTGTCTATCATTAATTGTAGAAAATTCCTAGCCACTATTAATTCAATATTTTTTCTCCTTTCTCTGTCTCTTCTCCCTGTGTTCTCATTTACATATGTTACACATTTTATATTTATCCTCGTTTTTTTTAAATATTCTGTTCCACTTACCTGTTTTTCATTCTTTTTCTTTACATTCCAGTTTAGAAAGTTACTACTGACTTATCTTGAAGCTCATTGATTCTTTCCCTGGCCATGTCCAGTCTACTGGTGATCCCATCAAAAGCATTCTTCATTTCTGTCACAGTGTTTTTCATTTCAGGCATTTCTGGTTTTATTATTATTTTTCTAAGTTGTGGTAAAATACACATTACACAAAATTTACCATTTTTATTTTCTATTTATTTTTTAAAATATATTTATTTATTTTTGGCTGCGTTGGGTCTTCATTGCTGCACGCGGGCTTTTCTCTAGTTGCAGTGAGTGGGGGCTACTCTTTGTTGTGGTGCATGGGTTTCTTACTGCGGTGGCTCCTCTTGTTGTGGAGCATGGGCTCTAGGCACGCGGGCTCTAGAGCGCAGGCTCAGTAGTTGTGGCGCACAGGCTTAGTTGCTCCACGGCATGGGGGATCTTCCCAGACCAGGGCTTGAACCCATGTCCCCTGCATTGGCAGGCGGATTCTCAACCACCGTGCCACCAGGAAAGCCCTAATTTTACCATTTTTAAGTGTACAGTTCAGTAGTGTTATGTACATTCACACTGTTATGCAACCATCACCACCATCCATCTCCAGAACCCGTTTTATGTTGCAAAACTGAGAATATGTCCATTAAATAATAACTTCTCATTCCTCCTTCTCACAGACCTGAAAACCACCACTCTACTTTGTGTCTCTATATATGTGACTACTCTAGGTACCTCATATTAAGTGGAATCATACAGTATTCATCTTTTTGTGATGAGCTTGTTTCACTTAGTATAATGTCCTATAGATTCATCCAAGTTATAGCATGTGTCAGAATTTCATCTTTTTAAGGCTAAATAATATAATCCACCATATGTATATGTCCCATTTTGTTTTCCTGTTCATCCGTCAATGAACACTTGGGTTGCTTCCAGTTTTTGGCTACTGTGAATAATGTGGCTATGAACATGGGTGTCTAGCATTTCCTCTGGAATCTTTCCTAGGGTCTCCATTTCTCTGCTTATATTACTTAACCGTTCTTGCAAAGTTCTCTTGTGGAAGGATTCTAAAAAATGTATATAACCTCTGTCCTGGAATTCCATTAGGAATTTATTTAGAAGTACATATACCCTTATTTTTAGGAGATGCATACTGAAGTATTTAGTATTTTATTAAAAGTGGAAGGAAATATAATTTTAAAAAATCAATGAGGGGCTCCCTTGGTGGCACAGTGGTTAAGAATCAGCCTGCCAATGCAGGAGACACGGGTTCGAGCCCTGGTCCGGGAAGATCCCACATGCCACGGAGAACTAAGCCTGTGCGCCACAACTACTGAGCTTGCACTCTAGAGCCTGCGAGTCACAACTACTGAGCCTGTGTGTCACAACTACTGAAGCCCGTGCACCTAGACCCTGTGCTCCACAACAAGAGAAGCCACCACAATGAGAAGCCTGCACACTGCAATGAAGAGTAGCCCCCACTCGCCGCAACCAGAGAAAAGCCTGCACGCAGCAACAAAGACCCAACACAGTCAAAAATAAAATAAAATAAATAAATTTATTTTTAAAATAAATAATCAATGTGAAGAATGGGAACACCAAAGATATAACTATTATCACTGACAATGACCACTCTCCCATTCATAGTTGCCATATTTTAACAGCAATAAGGTCTTACATAGGAAATAGTACTATAATTTTGTATTTCATTGGAACATATATATTGATAAAACAATGTATTAATTACCTATAATTTGAAGTTTGGCAAGTAGCTCTCTGGTGGACAAATTGAATGGTCTTAAGTGTGTCTTCTCTGAGTCACAGTTTTCTCTTCAGAAAACGAAGTAACAATGTTGCTTGACGTAGAATTCAGGTCATGACTCCCTGGTCCTTCTTCTCTGACTCTTCAAGTGTAAATAATTCGGTTTTTAGTCCAGGGCTTTCCAAACTTATCCACTAAAAATTCCTTCACAGCACAGAAGAATGAAAGCTTACCTCTGGGAGCCTAACATGGACACAAAAGTGGCAACCATTTGCATATACAGCATATGACTCTGAATTCTGTCTTATTTGAAAAGATATGTTGATTTGGATTCTTCTTAAAAAATCTGTCTTACTGAACATAAAATATCCAAATGATTTGCCAAATAAATAGCAAATCCTTTTACCCAAATCTTAAAGTTACTGCCGCAAAAAGGTGCAACATTTCTCTTTCATTGTTGAGAAGAGTAAGGCGGCCTAGTCACTCACAAACATAAACAGTCATAATATCACAGGGTTCTATATTCATATAATCAAAATCCCACATATCCATCTCGGAGTCATGTAGTTTCTCACTCAGTAAGCCTGTTCACAGTGATCCACATTCACAATATCCACAGAATGCACATGTAAGAAAAGCAAAAAAGTCAAGTAAATTTTAAGTCATACTCACAGATAAAAACATACAATCTCATAACTAAAGTCATAATCTCACAGGCCTCAAATAGTGCATCATATTATATAATTCCACACACAGTCACAAAAGTACTCAAACTTTTTAATGTTTATTCTAGAAGAGTCTGGGAAATAAAGTTTTATTAGGAGATTAAAATACGTTCAAACTTCCTTTCAAGCTGCCCAGAGAGCTGGGAAAAGAAATGTTCCACTCTCCACTGGGGCCATGGAGGGCTCACATGAGGGAAGGTCAGAGTTCACCGCAGTTTCACCTAAGGTCAGCGGGTACAGCGCTGTTTTCACAAGTCCCACTGGGGAGTTGAGAGAGGAAGAAGGCTGGATTGAAATCTGATTTTATTTGGCTAAGGTGCAGGGCTGCATTATGACCTTTGTTGGCCCCTTCTTCCAAAAAAGCAGAAAATAAAAATAATAGTATTTTACGATTGTTTAGGTATAGTAATAATAATAAATTGAGTTTCTTTGAATTAAACACTTTCTTTGACCAAAAATTAATGTTTACTTCTGATTTTAAAAGACATTTTTGTAGGCCCCTAAAAGTATTGTGGGCCCTAGGCATTTTGCCTTCTGTGTCTAATGGATGAGTCAGCCCTGCTAGTATGTGTCTTGGGCAAAAGTCAGCCAGACTCGGCCTTTTATGGAAAGAAAAGCAAGTTACTGGGCAGGAGGAATTTCGGGGTGGGGATGGAGGAGTGGGGAGGAAGTGTGCTTAACAAGTTTTATAATATCTCAAAATCTGAAACACAAACCATTTTCACATCCACACTCTACGAAACAAACCAAACAGAAACAATCCCATACATGGTTACAGACACACAATGGGTCCCACAACATCGTACAGCATGAAAACGCGAACACACCTACACACGCCCAGGCGTTCTTTCTTTAAAACAAATGCATACTTAATGCCAGCTGTGCTCCTGGCGCTACTCCAGGTGATGATGCTACCTGGGCGGAGGGTGAAAACTAAAGTCCTGTCCTCACATCTCACACGTAGGTAACCACCGTACCCAAGAGCCCACCACCGACTCCTCCTCCTGCTGCACGCAGGTTTGAGGCTCTTAAGTCCCCAAGCGCCTGCTCGGACTGCTACAGTCTGGGCTCATATTCCACTCGCCTTTTCCACGTACGCAGGTCTACCTGAAGGCACAGTCCTCCCGAGGTCGGGTCAACCTCCGCCGCGTGCCGCCACACGCCTGCGCCTGCGCACTCGGAACACCGCGCACTCCCGGCGCCAGGACAGTTCCAGGTGGACTGCATTTCCCAGAAGCCACCGGGCTCGCATCAGCCTCGGTCCCTGCGTCCTCTTCCGGTGGCCGAGCAGCTGTGGTCCCTACGTGGTGAGTAGATCGTATGCAAAGATAAGAATGGGCGGAAGCTTCCATAGTCTCTCACTGCAGCTGGACTGGGACCCGCGGTGGGGGTGACAGGCACTCAAGGCAAGGACGCTCTGGGCGCGGACGCAGCTTGTCGGGCCTCGAGTCTCAGGCTCGTGTCTGCGTGAGCAGCAGAGAAGATTTGTATGCCTATTGAGATATTTGTGTGTGTGTGTGTAGGTGTAGACGTGTCTCCGTGACAATGTGTGCGTTTGTGTGTCATTATTTAACTGGGCGATTGTGCTTATTTAACTGCGTGGCTTATGGATGAGCGAGAGTTGTGTGGCCATGTGGGTTGTCACTGGAACTCTTGGCTCTAGACTTCGCTGATTCCTCAGCCCTCTCCTCTCACAGCCACTTGGGGTCTGGCGCAGATGAAGGAGGGAAGCCAGATTCTGAGCTTTAGAATGGAAGAATGGAGGATCCCAGCAATCAATCATGAGATGAGATTTTCTGAAGCTGGATGCGGCCCCAAGACAGGCTTCTGGGAAGACCTGATAAGGTCCCAGGAGTAGGATTCCCTCCTGGGAGGGTCCCCTTAGAAAGTTCCGAGGGGCCAGCTATGTTTCACAACCACAGCATTTCCAAAACTCTGGCCCCAGGAACCTGCTGTGAATTAGACAGTTTCCACCTTAGACATCAGGGGCCTCTCTCACACTGGGAAAGGTCAACGCTGTCCCAGTCTCCTTCCTACTCCCATTTGGTTGTTTGTGGTGGACTGGGTAAAGGGGTATGGTCACGGAGGGAGGGTATTTTGTAAGTGAATGTGCTCTCCAAGAAAATCCTGATGTCTCATGATTGCCTTCTCTGTTCCCAGTGCTGCCTGTCTCGGAAAAAAAAAGTATCCTGAGAGAGGAAAGAATTTTTGTTACACAACTAAAAGTTTAAGTTCAGGTGAGTTGGTGTTTCCTCATTATTCATAAAACACACTTTAACTTTAAAGGCATGTAATCCTTCTTTTCCTTCAGCTGAAATGTCCTGCCTGGTACTGACATATCTGTAAATCATAGGGCCATGCAGAGGAATCACCCAGTCAGGGTCCCCAAGCCCTTCTCTCCATAATTTATTTAACCTGTGGCCTACTGTTAGCTATTATATTTCTATTTTTGACTAAAAATTAAATTAGTCTATAATGAACATCATTATGCATAGATCTTTATGTCCTATTATAGTCATAACCTAAGGATAAATTTCTGGTTTTGAAATTTGAGTCAAATACCAGATATTTATGCTTGTATTCATTGGAACACAATGACAAGAAGATATAGTTGCTATCTTCAAATGACTTGTTATCCAGTAAAAAAATGAAATCAGTGGACTTAGAGACTGTCATACAGAGTGAAGTAAGTCAGAAAGGAAAAACAAGAATCATATATTAATGCATATATGTGGAATCAAGAAAAATGGTACAGATGAACCGGTTTGCAAGGCAGAAATGGAGACACAGATGTAGAGAACAAATGTATGGACATCAAGGGGGGAAAGGGGGGTGGGATGAATTGGGAGATTGGGATTGACATATATACACTAATATGTATAAAACATAACTAATAAGAACCTGCTGTATAAAAAATAAATAAAATTAAAAAAAAAAAAGAAATGAAATCAGGATAGGAATAAGTAAGATAGAGGATCTGAAATGCCACTGGAGAAATTCAGGTGACCTGCCTCAGGAGTTGATAGGAAGAGACATCATTTTGTTTATAGCAGCACTGCCAGAATATGATCAAATTATGAGAACTCTGAGAAGAAAAATGGATTTTACACCTTAGCGTTTTTATTCTAGTGATGTTAAATGCATAGTGACAGTAAATGCGACGACTGTTTGCAGGACATCTTAGCTAGGAGGACAGGTTCAGAAGCAAAATAAATCTGTCAATCAGGAATATATAATAGGAAGCAGCATTGAGACTACCATTAATGTATACAAAACATCATAGCCTCCAGTTTACACAGACATACATTTCTATAGACAAACAAATTAGGGTTGGTTCAAGTACTGGGAACTGATGGAAATGAAGTAAAACTTTTCAGTAAAAACACAGGAACTGTTTTTAGAACAGCATTGGTTCTCAAATGTAAGCTGCATCAGGATCACCTGCAGGGCTTGTTCAAATACAGTTTGCTGGGCCCCAGCCTCAGGATTTCTAATTCAGTGGGTCTGGGATGGAGCTGAGAATATGCATTTCTGATAAGTTCCCAGAGATAAAATTTTGAGAACCTTTGTTATAGAGTGTACTAGGCTTTATCTTCAGGTTCAGGGATATTAAAGGGGGGAAGAAGAGGTGAGATTTTTTTCTACCTCTTTAGAGAAGAGGTTGCTCCTTTAAAAAATAAAAAAACATATCTGTGTGTGTGTGTGTGTGTGTATGTGTGTGAAATTAAGGAATGGCTATTGTTTAAAATTTTCTGAAATATACATTTAGGAAAAGGAAGAAAACCAAGGCTATGACACACAAATAAGCAATGTTAATAAATAGGTACATACATTTATATATATTTTTCTATTTATTGATTTCTGTCGTTTTTTCTATATATAGATAAGTACATATATTTTTATAAATATAATCGTATTTTGTATTTGTATGACTTTGTGCATTCGTAACCTGATTTTTTAACAGTTATTGAGATGCAATTCACATACCACACCATTCAGCTACTTGAAGTGTACAATTTTATACATTTAATATATTCACAGGCTTGTGAAACCATCACCACAGTCAACTTTAGAACATTTTCATCACCCTAAAGAGAAACCCTATTCCCATCAACAGTCACTCCCCATTTCCTGCAACTGCCCCAGCCATGGTCAACCACTTACCTACCTTCTGTCTCTATTAATTTGCCCCTCTGGACATTCTGTAGAACTAGAATCACACAATATGCGGTCTTCTGTGACCAGCTTCTTTGAATTGTAGCATGTGTCGGAAGTTTCTTCTTTTTTTTTGCTTTTTTTTTTGCAGTACACGGGCCTCTCACTGTTGTGGCCTCTCCCGTTGCGGAGCACAGGCTCCAGACGCGCAGGCCCAGTGGCCATGGCTCATGGGCCCAGCCGCTCTGTGGTATGTGGGATCTTCCCAGACCGGGGCACGAACCCATGTCCCCTGCATCGGCAGGCGAACTCTCAACCACTGCGCCACCAGGGAAGCCCTCTTCTTTTTTAAGGCTGAATAACATTAACATTCCATTGTATGGATATACCATGTTTTATTTATCCATTCATCAGTTGATGGACATTTGAGTTGTTTCTGCTTCTTAGCTATTACGAATAATGCTGACAGGAGCATTTGTGTACAGGTTTTTGTGTAGACATATATTTTTGTTTCTCTTAGGTATACATTTAGGAGTGGAATTGCCAGGTCATATGGTAACTCATTCGAGGAACTGTCAGATTGTTTACCAAAATGTCTGTACCATTTTACATTCCCAACAGCCACATGTGAGGGTTCCAATTTCTCCACATTTTCACCAATGCCTGTTATTATCTTTCCTTTTTATTATAGCCATCCTAGTGGGTATGAAGTGGGTCTTGTGGTTTTGATTTGCATTTCCCTGTTGACTTATGATATTGAGGGTCTTTTCACATACTTACTGGCCATTTGTGTGTCTTCTTTGGAGAAACATCAGTTCAGATTCTTTGCCCACTTTTTAATTGAGGTTTTGGTCTTTGTATCCTAAATTTTTTTACTGACATGATATTTTGAATATTTTCATTCCCTTATAGCATTTAATGACTTTAATATTTCATTACATGGACACATCGCTGAGTTTAGAATGCTGAACACGCCTGCTCTCCATGCTGTACCAATTCTATATCTTGATCAACTTCACTTCTTCCAATTTCTCAGGCCATATGGGAACTTAGGGCTTTGTAATTTCAGGGGTAGTGACGTTTGGGAATGTGGCAACAGCCTCTACTTATAAGTGTACTGTCTCAGAAGAACTTGTATAAGGATGTGATACTGAAAAATCATAGAAGCAGAGTCTTTATGATCAAATCTTTAAATTCAAAATGTGATCTCTAGGGCTTTTTTCTTCCCTTAATGTGACCCTCTAGGGAGGTTGAAGTGTTTGAATTTCTGAGGGATTTGAGATTTAAATGACTGTTCTACTCTATCTTCCTTGAGGCATCATCATCCTGGTTCCTTGAATGGCTTTCCTTTGGCCTTTCTTATGTGGGACTTCCCTGCCCCTTCACCACAGGACTGTGTCTGGATTTGTTGAGAGCTGCAGCATGCCTAAGTTCTATTTCTTTTATGTGCAGGTTTTTCTGTTTCCAAGCCAGGTGTAATTCCTGAATTGGAACAAGGAGTCCAGGCCTAGTAGGTGGAGAGTGTAGTGACAAGAGGATTTGTCCAGGTGAGTCAGGGGAATCCAGAAAAGGGAAAACTATGGAATATCAAAGTTCATGACTGGTGACACAGAACCTTGATATTCCAGTATGAGACAATCAACTCAGAGACTTTAAGCCCTTGGAGAAAAAAAAGGCCTCGTCATCATACCCCAAATATCACCATATTCATCTTTTATTTCACCCTCCAATCTCAAAGAGAGCGATTAGCTCTATTATCATTTTTATTATAGAAGTAATACATTCTCATACAGTAATTCAGAAAGTACAGAAAAGCTCAAAATGAAGAGACTACTGTAAACATTTTACTCCAAATTTTTTTATCTATCCCTCAATGCACATGCATATATTCATACATGTTATTTTACTTGTCATAACAGGGTAACATTTTGAAATATAATGGTTTTACCCATTATCATCAAATAAAGGTCTCTATCATTTTTTCATGGAAATATATATAATAAAGTATACATATCTTAGCTGTGCGTATAGCTTAATGAATCTTTACATTTGAAAACACCACCCGAATCAAGAAATAGAGCATTTCTATCCCCTCCTGGAAGATGTGCTTGTGTCCTGCCCCAGTTAGAACGAACCCTCCCGCACAAGAAGTAAACATTATACTGACTTCTATCACTCAAGATGAGATTTGCCTGTTCTTGAACTTCATATAAATGGAATCTCTTGTCTCTGCTGCTTTTTGTCCAAAACTGAACTTTTGAGATTCATACGTGTTGTTTTGTGAATCAGTAGGTTACCCCCAACCCAAGTGTTGTGTAGTACTCCACTGTATGACCTTACCACAATTTGTTTATCCATTCTTATGATGATGAGTTGTTTCCAGTATTTAACTATTATGAATAAACCTTCTATGAAAATTCTTGTACAAGTCTTTTTGTGGACACATGTTCTTGTTTTTCCTGGGAATATACCTGGGGGTGGAAGTGGTTAACTTAATTTACACTCCGACCGCAATGTATGCAAGGTCTAGTTACTTCTCAAACTGGCCAACACTTGATATCGTCAGTCATTTTAAATTTAACCATTCTGTTGCATGTGTAGGAGTACCTCATTGTGATTTTAATTTGTATTTTTTTGATAAATAATGTGAGCATCTTTTCATATGATAGCGCCCATTTTGACATACTCTGATGAACTGTCTATTCAAATCTTTTGTCCATTTTTTAGCCTGGCTTTTGTTCCTTTTCCTATTGAGTTGTAGGAATTTTAGATATATTTTGAATACAAGTCCTTTGTGTGTGTATATAAACCTGTGTGTGTGTGTGTGTGTGTGTAGAGAGAGAGACAGACAGAGAAAGGGAATATCTCCTATTAGCCTGTAACTTCTTATTCACTTTCTTAATGACATCTTATAATGAAGAGATATTCTTAATTTTAACTGAGCTCATTTAACAATCTTTTTCTTTTATGGCTATTGCATTTTTGTTCTGTTTAAAACATCTTTTCCTGGGGAAGAAGGGACAGATCTTCCTTATGGTAGAATTCCAGTTGTTAAATGTAGAAGGAAAGAGGGACATGGAAAATGGCCATTAGGCAAACACCACAGTAATCGTTGTTTCAGATGAGATCCACTGGTAGATGCTAAAACTAGAGGGTGAAAGTTTGAAGAGAAAAAGGGTTTGCCTAGTGTCAAAGGATTCCCCATCACCCACGATATTTATTAACAACAGAGGGAAAGGTAGTACCTTTCTAGTGGGGAAACCCATCAGAAAGCAGTTTCACCAAGTGATCAAGGTTAACATCGTCAGTGATAAAGTATTGACATCATGAGCCCTTTCATGTCATACAATGAGAAGGACAGAGCATCCCAGTGGTACTGCCAAAAATGCAGAGCCTCATTCCAATTGTGAAACATCAGACAAACCAAGTGGAAGGACGTTTGATAACTTAAATGATTGGTACTCCTCCGAAGTGAAGAGGTCATGAATTAGGTGTGATAGACTTTAGGGTGACAGCCATGATTCCTGCCTGCTGGTGTCTATGCCATTGTATAATCCCCCTCCATTGGAGTGCAAGCAGGACCTGTGACTTGTTTCTAACCAATAGAAAATTGGTGAGGGGATGTCAGTCCTGTGATTAGGTTACTTTATACGGCAAAAGTAATGGGATGTCACTACTATGGTTACATTATGTCACATAAGATTCCATCATAGGGACTTTCCTGGTGGTCCAGTGTTTAAGACTCTGCATTACACTGCAGGGGACGTGGGTTTGATCCCTGGTCAGGGAACTAAGATCCCATGTGCTGCGAGGCACGGCCAAAAAAAACCAAAAACAAAACAAAAAAAGACTCCATCATAGCATACTGGAGCTAGAGACTCTGCTCGTGGGCTTGATGAAGTAAGGCAGTGTTGGACAAGCCCTTGCAAGAAACTGCAGGCAGCCTCTAGGACCTGAGGTCACTCTCCAGCTGACAGCCAGCAAAAAGTTGAGGCCCTCAGTGATCCAGCCACAAGCGTATGAATTCTGCCAACAATCTGAATGAAATTGAAAGTGGATTCTTCCCCACTTGAGCCTCTGAATGAGAACACAGCCCAGCTGATACCTTGTTTGCAGCTTATAAGACCAGCATGAGGAGACCATCCATCGAAACTGTCCAGACTCCAAGTTCACAGAAACTGTGAGATAATAAATGTGTGTTGTTTTAAGCTAAATTTGTGGTAATTTGTTATGGTAGCAGTTGAAAGCTATTACCATAAGAAAGACTGTGGAGATTGGAAGAGACTGAGGAGAAATAACAGCTCAATGCAGTGTGGGATCATGTATAGGATCCTGGAAAAGAAAAATGATATTAGTGGGAAAAACTGGTGATATTTGAATAAGATATGCCATTTGTAGTACTGTACCAATGTTAATGTCCTGGTTTTGACCATTGTCCTATGTAAGATGTTCAAATTAGTTTGAGCGGTATATAGGAAACTGTACTACTCTTGCAACTTTTCTCTAAGTCTAAAGTAAGTGGAAATAAAAATTAAACCAAAAAAAGAGAAAATTTTGCCTACCCCAAGATCATGAAGATATTTTCCTGTTTCTTCTTACAGAAAATTTATTGCTTTAGCTTTCACATTTAGGCCTATGATCCATCTTGAATTTACATCTGTATATGTGGTGGGATCAGGGTCAAAACCATTTTTTCCACACAGATTGCCAATTGCTCAGGCACCATTTGTTGAAAAGACTATCCTTTCTGCTCTAAGTCAGACTTTTATTGTTTAAAAAATGTGACTATATATGTACAGGGCTCTTTCTGGACTGTCTATTCTGTTGGTCTGTTTGTCAATCCTGTGTCAGTCCTGCTGTTTTAATTACAGTAGCTTTATATTATGTCTTGATATCTGGTAATGTACATTCGACAACTTTGTTCTTCAAAATTGCCCTGACTGTTCTGGATTCTTAGCATTTCCATATAATTTTAGAATGATTTTCTTAATGTTCTAAAAAAAAGCTGCTAATATTGTTTAGAGATGCATTGAATCAGTAGATCAATTTAGAGAGAAGTGGTCATCTTAGAATAGATTCCTCCAATTCATGAACATGAAATATGTTTCCATTTATTTAATTCTTCTTTAACTTCTTTCCTAAATGTTTTGTTGTTTTCAGTCTAAAAGTCTTGCACCTCTTTTGTTAGATTCATTCCAAAGTGTTTTATATTTTTCATGTTTTTTATGAACTGTTGGGATTTTTAAAATCTCATTTTTCAATAGCTTTGCTTTACTATAATTGTTTGTTTTATACTGTGACCTTTTATTCAACAAACTTTCTAATAAATTCATGTATTCTAATAGTCTGTAGGATTGAAAATTTTTTTCTATGTACAAAATCATGTTATCTGCAAATAAATATGGATTTACCTCCTTCCTTCCAATCTTCATACCTTTCATTTCACTTTTTTCTCTTATGGTATTGGATAGGTCTTCAAATACAAAGTTAAATGGAAGTGGTAAAAGTGGAGATCCTTGCCTTATTCCTGAACTCAAGACATTAGTCCATATTTTACCTCTCAGTTTTATTCTGTAGATCCCCTTTATCAAATTAAAGAAGTTCTATTCCTAGCTGGCTGAGAATTTTAATCATGAACTGATGTTGAATATTATCAAATGGTTTTTCTGCATGTAATGAAATGATTGAATGGTTTTTCTCATTTATTATTTAAAGTTTGAAGATTATATTGATTGCTTCTTAAAAATAAAGTGACTTTGCATTTCGAGAATAAATCTCTTGGTCATATATATCACTGGCCTCTCCTTGCTAATATTTTATTTAATATACTTGCATCTGTGTTCGTGATAGAGATATATGGTAGTTTTCCTTTCTTGTAATGTCATTGTCAGGTTTTGATATCACAATTATGAGGGCCTCAAGACATGGTCCATTTTTATTTGTTTTCTAGAAGATACTGAGTTTGATTGGCATTTTCAATTCCTTAGCTGTTTGGAGGATTTGCCACTGAAGCCTCTGGGCCTGACATTTTATGGGAAGGTCCTTAATTAATATAGATATAATTTCTTTAATAAATATAACAATATTCAGATTTTCCATTTTTTATATCAGTTTCATTGAATTGTTTTCAAGAAATTTTAAAATTTCTTCTATATTTTCAAGTTTATTGTCATAGAGTTGTTCATAAAATTCTGTTATCAATTTAATAATGTCTATAATATATGTAGTGATATCTCCTTTTATAGTCCTGATATTGGCAATTTTTTCCTTGAACAGTATAGCTAGAGGTTTATTAATCTTATCTCTTCAATGAAATAGCTTTTGGCTTTATTGATTTTCCTCTGTTATAGATCTGGGTTTTTTATGCCACTCATTTTAGTATGTTTTACTTTCTGTAGGCTTAATTTGCTTTCCCTTTTCTAGCCTCCAAAGGTAGATCATTGATTTTTAACCATACTACTTTTATAAAACATAAATTTATGTTTGGGTGAAGGGGATCAAAGAGTAATAAGAAAGGAAAATAATAAGTGGGCAATCATTATAAATGCTCATGCTATCTACTGGGAGAAAATAAATTATGGATTTATTTGGCATTGTAGTAATTTGACAAAGGATTTTCATAATAATTTCACTACTAATTGATTTACTATGTCAATGTCTTTAGTACACCTAGTAATTACCAGTGATTAGATAATGAATGGCATTTATCTGCAGCATTTGTAAAAACAAAACAAAAACAAAAAATATATATTTAAAACTAAAAATATCATTGTAAGCATTGGTTTGACTGCATCTCACAAGCTTTGTTATGCCATACTTTTATTATCATTTAGCTCCAAATATGTTCTAGTTTCCATTATGATTTATTCTTTGACCTGTAATTATTTCAAGTGAATTTTTATATTTGGAAACATTTGAGAAATACCAGTTTTTGAGTTCCAAAATATACATTCTTTGATATTAATCCTTTGAAGTTTATAGATACTTATTTTATGGCCCAGAATATTCTGAAAAATATGCAAAGAATGTGTAGTCTGTAGTTTGGGAGTATAATGTTCAGTTGGGTCATTTTGGTTATTCCTGTTCAACCTGCTATGGCCTTGTTGATTTTTTTTTTTCTCTTCCTGTTATCAGTTACCAATGGAGGGTATAAAAAATCTCTAAAGTTAATTATAAACTTATCCTTTAATTCTGTTGACTTTTGCTTTTGAAACTATCTTACTAGGAGTAGAAGGAATGTAGGATAACTGTTATATTCTTGTTGAATTGTAGGAAATATCTCTTTATTACTTATAATACTTCTTGCATTTAAGTCTATTTATCTGTTGTTAATATACCAGTGTGCTTCTAATTACTGTCTAATATACTTTTCCCCTCTTACTTTTAACATATCTGTGTCTTTAAAGTATGTTTCTTATAAGCAGTGTAATTGATCCTGTTTTTAATTTAATCTGAAAATCTTAGTTTTTAATTGCAATGTTTAGTCCATTCACATTTTATTACAGTTACTGATATAGTTTGGTTTAAATATGCCATCTTGCTATATGTTTTCTGTTTATCCCATTTATTCTTCATTTCTTTATTCCTCCTTTCCTGCCTTCTTTTGAATTAATCAGGTAGTTTTCATTATTCCATTTAATCTCCTCTATTAGCTTTTTTAGTTGTGCATCTTTGTATAATTCTTTTAGTAGTTACCTGAGCTATTATAGGATGCATCTTTTTTTTTAACATCTTTATTGGAATGTAATCGCTTTACAATGTTGTGTTAGTTTCTGCTGTATAACAAAGTGAATCAGCTATATGTATACATATTTCCCCATATAGGGTGCATCTTTAATACAGTCTTCTTTAAAATAGGGTTTTTAGGGGACTTCCCTGGCAGTCCAGTGGTTAAGACTCTCCACTCGAAATGCAGGGGGCACGGGTTCGATCCCTGATTGGGGAGCTAAGATCCTGCATGCCGCATGACACAGCTGAGAAAAAAAAAAAAGTAGGGTTTTTAACCACATATCAAATAACATAAGAACATTTCAATAGTTTAAATCCATTTATGCTGATATTGTCATTCCTTCTTCCAGTAATACAATCTTCACAAAGCATTCTAGTTTTGGTTCCTTTAAATAGTCCATTTGTTTAGTCATATATTTACTTGTCCACAGCTGTTCATTGCTTTTTGGCACATTCATGCTTCCATCTAGGATTATTTTCCTTTAGCCTGACTGCTGTCCTTTACTATTTCTTGTATTGTGGGTCTGTTGATCAGAAACTCTCTCAGCTTCTGTTCAAAAAAATCTTTATTTTACCTTCATTTCTGAAAGATATATTCTCCAGGCATAAGATTCAGAGTTGTCAGAGTTTTTTCTTTCAGCACTTTGAAGATACGATTCCATTTTTCAGGCCGCTAAAGTTTCTGTTGAGATAAGAACTATTTTTGTTGTTGTTGTTTATTTATAACATGTCTTTTTTAAACTACATACTTTCAAGATATGTTTTTCAATTTTGTTTTTCAACAATTTGGCTATGATATGCCTGGGTAAGAATTTCCTTATTTTATCTGGTTAGGTTTGCTGAGCTTTTTGATTTATGTATCAAGATATTTCATGAGATTTGGAATGATTTTGTCCATTATTTCTTCAAAAATCAATTTTCCGTTCTATTTCTTTTAGGTGTTCAATTCCACATTTTATCTGTTTCTTGTATTTCTCTTACATTCAGCTCTGTTCTTTCTTTCTTCTCTCTGCGTAAGGTTATTGTTAATTTGACTTTATGTTAATTAATACCATTTTCTGCTGTTAAATCCATCCAATACATTTAAAATTTTTGATATTATATTTTTATAACTATAAAATGTTCATGTGGGTCTCTTTTTTATGAGTCTACTAAATCTCTATTGATATACTCCATTTTGCATTCCATTTTGTCCATCTTTTCCTCTATTTTCTTTAGCATGTTAATCATAGTATCTTCAAGTCCTTGTCTACTAGCTCCATTGTCTGGATCATCTTTGGGTTTATTTCTATTGAGATTTTTCTCTTGATTATCAGTAACTTTCCTGTTTCTTTGCATTTTTCATAAGTTTTATCATATACTGGCATTGTCAATAATATATTATAGAGACTCTGGATTACGTTATCTTCCTTTAATAAGTCTATGTCAGGGTTTCTCAACCTTAGCACTGTTGATATTTTTGACTAGATAATTCTTAGCTGTGGTGGAGGGCTTTCCTATGCCTTGTAGGATGGTCAGCACCATCCCTGATCTCCACCCACTAGTTACAGTAGCACCCCTCCACACATTTTGACAAACAAATATGTCTCCAGACATTGCCAAATGTGCCCTGGGGGGCAGGATCACCCCCTATTGAGAACCAGTGATCTGCACAATCATTTTCAGTATCTGTTTCATTTTCCATTATATGAATGAATACACTTTATTGAATTAACTACCCATCTAAGTACATTTAGATTTTTCTCCAGCGTTTTTTTTTTTTTCATTTTAACTAGTGTCTATCATCATGTTCCTTTATACATCTCTAGGCACATCTTACAGTTATTTCCTTTAGGTGAAGTCTCAGAAACGGCCTTTCATCATTAAATTCTTCTTATGCATAATTTTTCGTACATGTCTCAATTGCACTAGGTTTTCACAGGTCTATAGGATAGCATGAGAATGCTCTTTTCCCTACAGCCTTACTAATATGTGGTGTATCATCAACTTTTAAAATCTGACAGTTGAATACCTATAAAATTGTACTATCTTTGTTGCTTTAAAACATCTCTTTAGTAAATCTTTTGACAGGTGCTGTCTTAATTATTTATTTTCAGGTTTCATATAATGAAACAAAAAATCTGGGTGTCAGAGACAACAGTTCAAAAAAAAAGTTGACTTTATAATTATAGAAATGTGATTGAAAACACCACTTCTACTTACAATTTGTGATATGGGAAAATACCTTTGCTTCTTTGAGCTTTTATTTCCTCATCTGTTGAACTGAGTTAATAAGTACATTTCAGGATTAAATTTTAATGTGTATAGCACAGCTATCACATAGAAGGTTACAAATATCTATGTATTACTGTATGGCTTTAGTGAGTATGAATTCACATCTTCCTGTGGGTACTGGGTGGCAGTGATTCATGCCAGCAAGCAAAGTGGATCGTGATAGGGAAATCCAGGTTGGTCAGCCCAGAGGACCTTGGAGTCAAGTTCAGGCTTCACGTGGGCAGACAGTTTTACGGTGGTCAGGTTTTCCAAGTTGGTCCCTACTCTTTTCTGCCTTTTTAAAAAATTTATTTATTTTTATTTTTGGCTGCATTGGGTCTTCTTTGCTGTGCGCAGGCTTTCTCTAGTTGCACCGAGTGGGGGCTACTCTTCATTGTGGTGGCTTCTCTTGTTGCAGAGCACGGGCTTTAGGCACATGGGCTTCAGTAGTCGTGGCACGTGGGCTCAGTAGTTGTGGCTTGAGGGCTCTAGAACACAGGCTCAGTAGTTGTGGCTCACGGGCTTAGTTACTCCACGGCATGTGGGATCTTCCCAAACCAGGGCTCGAATCCATGTCCCCTGCACTGGCAGGTGGATTCTTAACCACTGCACCAACAGGGAAGTCCCTGTTTTCTGCCTTTTGTCTGGCAGAGTCCAGGTCCACCTTGAGGACATGAAGCTTGTTGAAGTTTGTGTTGTATGGCCTGGTCTCAACCCTGGAAGGTAGGGCTGAATTGGGGAGGAGGATCTGCTTAATGTGACTGGACAACCCAAGCTGGGTACATCTGGCATGATCAGAATGAGAAATAGGCCAGAGGGGCGTGTCTGGATCTGGCTTTGGTTCAAGAGAGCCTCTGCTCTGTATCCACGCTTGTGAGGCTTGTTTCCCAGACACAGGAAAGGGTTTGAGTTTGTCTGGACTCTGTCTCATATCCCCTGACATGTGTTTATGTGTTTGGGAGGGCAGAGAGTGGGCAAGGATGGCGAGAAACAGGAATAAAGAAGAAAAAAGAAAGGCTCTCTTACCTTAATTTTGGGAGTTCTGAGCTACATTGTGTTTCAAGGCTTCTTTTTCCTCCCTCAGCTCTGGCTTCTCTGGACTCAGCTTCTGAGGATGATTGGCAGTTCTAAAACCATGGGCCGGGTAAGTGGGTTTCTCTCCTTCCTGAAATATTACAATTTTTAATTCAGATAATATTTTCATTCTTTATCCCAAAACCTCCTTCCTAGGAAAGCTGTATCTCAGCCTGTTTCACAGTTGCTGCCTTTACAGAGAAGGATGGTGTCCTCCCTATTTGCTCCCTTTTTTCAAACTGATTTTTCAGTTTTTCATCAAATGAGTTATTCCTCTTCTATATGTTCAGTCTTCTCTCGGGAGCAGTGTTGGAGCAGTAAAGGGGTGAAGTACCTTGAAGGAAGTATTTTAGCTTCCCTTGTTAGGTTTGTAGTTTCATTGTATAGAAATGGTGGCCCTCTTTGACCAGAAGAGGGAGAACTTTCTCCATAGTTTTCCAGGTAGATAAGGGAGAATTTGGTTTCGAATGGTCTCAGTCTCAGTGTTAGATGAGATCTCAGCTTTGAAAAGCTTTTAGGTTTGGGTTGAAATGGGATTGGTACCTGCCTACAGAGAGGAGGGGTTCTGGCTGAGGAATCACTGAGAAGTGAATAGGGTTCTGAGGCCCATTTTGTAGGGGAAGAGAGATTGCTTGGCTTGAGTCATTCAATGTTGTTCTGGATCATTCTACATTAGTGTGTTCTAACTCAAGAACCGGAAGTTCAGTAAGGGATTGTAGAAAGGGAAGATGAGAACCACATCTGGTGGATAATACTGAACTGTGGGGAAGAGGTTAAAGAAAATTTTGAAAATTAAAATTAAAGAAATTTTTTGTGCTCCAACAGGATTATTCAAGATTGGGTAGGGAATCTACTTCAGATATGCTAATTTATTTATTATTTATTCTCATCTACCCATGTCATGATCTTTAACTTCAGCCTACTTGTTTTTATATATCACCCCCTACTGCAACTCAATATTCCATCTTGAAATTTTTTTTCTACTTTTACAAATAATACATGAATTTATCATTTCAGGTGCCACTGACATTCAGTGATGTTGCCATAGACTTCTCTCAGGAGGAGTGGGAATGCCTAAACTCAGATCAGAGGAACTTGTACAGAGATGTGATGTTGGAGAATTATACTAACTTGATATCACTGGGTAAGGACATCTGCCTGAAGTAATGTAGAATCTGCTATCTGGAATATCCACTTTTTCTACTGTATATTTTATGCTCTGTGCTAAGAAACTAGCAAAATTTCTGCTCCATATTCTCAAAGGACTATTTGGGGCTTTGTTAGATTGAAATAAGCACCTTCATTCAGCACCTAAATCTTTTTTAAAATTTTATTTATTTATTTATGGCTACATTGCGTCTTCGTTGCTGCACGCGGGCTTTTTCTAGTTGTGGCGAGCGGGGGCTACTCTTCGTTGCAGTACGCAGGCTTCTCATTGCGGTGGCTTCTCTTGTGGAGCATGAGCTCTAGGTGCACAGGCTTCAGTAGTTGTGGCACGTGGGCTCAGTAGTTGTGGCTCACGGGCTCTAGAGTGCAGGCTCAGTAGTTGTGACGCATGGGCTTACTTGCTCCGCAGCATGACAGCACCTAAATCTTCTCTGTCCTTCATTTACCTTCCTACCTCCTTCTGATCCATCCTGCAGTTGCTTTTTCTAAATGACCAAAGGATTGAATTCTGGGAATTTTCTGCATAACTACTGGCAAAGAAAACAAATGTCAAATTATGTGTATTTTCATAATGTCAATAAATATTCTATTTTAATTGCCAATCCACCTACATGGAGAACAGGTAACATAGAGTCCTGGTTTTCTCTTTATTACAGATGAGACTTTGTAATTTTTACAGTGGTAGAATGAGTCAAGATCATTATCTTTTTGAGTATTTTCTGTTATAGCAGTGAAAATGTTGGCTTTCAGTAATTTGATAGATTCTACTCAGAAGTGTCTTTGTTCAGGTTTTGGACAATACTTGACCGTTCTCTCCTCTCCTCTGGGATTCCAGTTATACCTACGTTAGATCTTTTGAGAACTTCTCTCTCTAGAAATTCACTTTGATTGTCTTTTATAACTTCCAGTTACCTGTTGCAATTCTTTTATTTACTGTCTTTTTATTACTATTTTTATGGCTTAATTAATTTATTTATTCTTATTTATTTATTTTATTTTTGCCTGTGTTAGGTCTTAGTTTCGGCATGTGGGATCTTTCATTGCAGCATGCGGGCTCTTCATTGAGGCGAGCAGGCTTCACTCTAGTTGTGGTGTGTGGGCTCTAGAGTGAGCAGGCTCAGTAGTTGCAGCATGTGGGCTTAGTTGCCCCTTGGCATGTGGGATCTTAGATCCCCGACCAGGGATCAAACCCACGTCCTCTGCATTGGAAGGCAGACTCTTAACCACTGGACCACCAGAGAAGTCCCTGTTTTTTTAAAATTTAATTTAATTTATTTTATTTTTCTTTTGTTGACTGCGTCGGGTCTTAGTTGCATGCAGGCTCTTCGTTGTGGCGTGCGGGCTTCTCTCTAGTTGTGGTGTGCAAGTTTTCTCTTCTCTAGTTGTGTCACGTGGGCTCCAGGGGGCATGGGCTCTGTAGTTTGTGGCACGTGGGCTCTCTCGTTGAGGCACATGAGCTCAGTAGTTGTGGTGTGCAGGATTAGTTGCCCCGCGGCATGTGGGATCTTAGTTCCACAACCAGGTATCGAATCCGCATCCTCTGCATTGGAAGGCGGATTCTTTACCATTGGACCACCAGGGAAGTCCCTCATCTGTTTTTTTGTTTGTTTGTTTGTTTTGTTTTGTTTTGTTTTGTTTTTGTTTTTTTGGTACGCGGGCCTCTCACTGTTGTGGCCTATCCCGTTGCGGAGCACAGGCCCTGGACGCACAGGCTCAGCAGCCATTGCTCACGGGCCCAGCCGCTCCGCGGCATGTGGGATCTTCCCGGACTGGGGCACGAACCCGTGTCTCCTGCATCAGCAGGCGGACTCTCAACGACTGCGCCACCAGGGAAGCCCCCTCATCTGTTTTTTTAAACTCTTCCATCAGTAGTTATTTTGGAATTCTTGTATGCCTTCATTGTTTGGTATCATCTGTGGGCCTACTTCTATTGTTTCTGTTTTTTCCTCTTGTTATTTGCCATATGGTAATGCCTCTCCAAGTTACTAGTAATAGTGATCGTGTGCTGGACATTGTGTACAAAAGAACTGAAGAGATTCTAGATAGTGATATCTTCCACCAGGGAGAACTTAACATTTTCCTCTCTGGGTCTGATAGAATAGCAGATATTAAGCTGGGTCAGTGCTGGTTTTCAGTTTGGTAATACTCAACTACCTCTTTTTTATCACTGTGCTCAGAATCAGTGAGTTTCTCTAGGGGAAAAGCGGTGGTAGATCTTCAGGGCTAATTCACCACTCCTTTAATGGCTCTTATCTGTTTGGATTTTAAATTTACTCTCCCAATGGATCTTTTATTTCCAGAAGAAATGCTGACAATTAATAAGCTAACCATCCATTTGGTAAGTTAGGAAGAGCACAACAGACTTAAAGAAAGTGGAAGAAAGGAATTAATAAAGGAAAGAACAGAAATTAATGAAATAAAAACTGAACATATAAAAGAGCAAGTCAAAACTATAAATTTGGTTATTTCAAAGAATTAATAAAATTGGTGCAACTCTCTCAACATGAATCTATGTAAGAAAAAAGGGGGCCTCATTACAAATCCTGAAACCTTGAAAATGTGATGCTAATTTTGATAAACATTATGCCAGAAACTGAAAAATCGAATGAAATAAATTATTAGAAAATTTTAATCTACAAAACAAACACTCAGGAAAAAAATTGAAAATATGAAAACTCTCACAAGCACTAAAGAAACTGCATCAGTAATCAAGAGCCTACCCACAAATTGGAAGATTCAGGCCTAGATGGTTTATCATTAAAGTGCAAAAGTTTGAACATGTAAGAATTTGGGGGAAATTTTTCCCATGACCTCTTACATGTGGATTCTGACAAAGGATAAGCTACAGAAAAGTAAGAGATGACTAGGAAATAGCTACTTGAAAATACAGAGTATATTTATAATAGCTCTCTAAATATCCTTGTCTACTAATTCTATTATCTGTGTCACTCCTTGCTCTGTTTCTTTTTCTTGATTTTTCTCCTAGGAAGGGTTATATTTTCCTACTATTTTGCATGCCTGATAATTTTTGTATTAGGTGCCAGACATTGCAACGTTTACTGTGTTGGAATGCTGGATTGGGGGACTTTGTTCTGGGATTCAGTAAATGGGACTTGTTGATCCTTTCATGGTTTGCTTTTAAACTCTATTAAGCTGGGTCCAGAACAGCTTTTAGTCTAGGGCTAATTTGGCCCTGCTACTGAGGCAATAAAGTGTGAGAGATTAGAGTCAGAGAGAGATAGTTGGTAACTGTTGCATAATTTTCAGAAACTAGATCGTTATTTTACTCAGTTGCCTTCTCCACTGACCTTGATTTTTATCCTTACTTACCTTGATTTTCATCCAAGTTACATTTTTAATTCACTATTTTATTCTACAAGTCATTATTTAATACTTACCTTGTGGTAGAACTTGTTTTTCAGTGGTAGTTGAAAGAAGTTTTGAATTCATACTTGAGCTTTAGAATAAGAAAATAAATAGTAAGACAAATGAGACAATAAATATGTATGAGAGAAAAGCATCATGAAGACAAAGAATTAGATGTTGGAATATAGAATAAAGGATATGAATTTACTTACAGTTAGCAGAGCCAGCCTTTCTGAGGAAGTGATTTGTAACACCTGGAGATAGTCATTTAGAGAAGCCACCTAAGAGGATTCCTGCAAGGTAAAGCATCCGTGTGAAGCCACAGGCAATGGGAAAAGTTGCAGTATGTTCTAGTAGCTGAAAAGATGCAGTGTGGTCAGATATAGGGGAAAAGATGTCAAGGGCTTGAAATGAATTTGTAGAAGTAAGACAGAGTTTTCTTATTTATGGTTATGTGCTTGGGTTTCATTCTAAGATAAAGACAGACCATTGAAAAAATTACATAGAGAGCCATCTGGTAGAGAATATTAAAAATGTAGATGACCAGGACCTACTCACAGATTCTGATTCACTCAGTCTCAGTGGATATCTAAAGGGTAGTATATACATACATCACGCCCTCTTTTTTTTTTTTTTTAAACATCTTTATTGGGGTATAATTGCTTTACAATGGTATGTTAGTTTATGCTTTATAACAAAGTGAATCAGTTATACATATACATATGTTCCCATATGTCTTCCCTCTTGCGTCTCCCTCCCTCCCACTCTCCCTACATCACGCCCTCTTTGAACCATTATTATAAAACTTCTCACTACCCACCTCCAGGTTAGCACACACAGTTTTGAGGACATTAGCCTGCTGTTGCCCCCTTTGCCTGGCAAAGCAAATAAAGCTATTCTTTTCTGCTTCACCTCCCTCAAAAAAGAAGGGTTGTATATGTAAGAAATTCCTGTGGAAATACTGATCCACAACTAAATATGAGAACTACTGATTTTTCTCTTTGCCTATTCACAAACTTTACATTCTCATGTTAGCTTTAATAATTTTCTGAGCCCTTCTTGCCTTTAAAAAATTTCATCACATTTTTTAAGAATTTTATGACCCTTTTACTTCTAATGGATATACTTGTCAATTTATTATTCTTCTTACTATATTTCCCCTTGTACAAGAAAAATAGCATTTGTTTGTTCTCTCATTTTCTTTCAGACATTGATTTCACAAGTGAGAGCAACAAATTATCTTCAGAAGAAAGCAGTTATGAAGTAAATTCATACCATTGGGAGACAATGAATAGAAGTAAAACCTTCAACTTTATGGCGTTTATTTTCAGAAATGACTCACAGAACAGAACTAAATTTGAAAGACAACAGAAACCTAAAATGGGATATTTTAATCACATGATATTCAGGAAACATATATCCCTTCCTCTACCTCAAAGACTTCACACTAAAGAGAAGTCATATGAATGTAAGGAATGTAGAAAGGGCTTTAGGAAATATTCACACCTTATTGAACATCTGAGAGACCATAGTGGTGTAAGACCCTATGAATGTAAGGAATGTGGAAAGGTCTTTATAGTTCTCCAGCATTTTATTAGACATAAAAAAAGTCACACTGATTTGAAACCCTTTGAATGTAATGGATGTGAGAAGGCCTTTAGGTTTTATTCACAGCTTATTCAACATCAGATAATTCATACTGGTGTGAAACCCTATGAATGTAAGCAATGTGGGAAGGCCTTTAGACGTCATTCTCACCTTACTGAACATCAGAAAATTCATATTGGTTTGAAACCCTACAAATGTAAGGAATGTGGGGAAACTTTTAGGTTGTACCGACATATGTGTCTCCATCAGAAAATTCATCATGGTGTGAAACCCTATATTTGTAAGGAATGTGGAAGGGCCTTTGGTCATCGTTCAAGTCTCTATCAGCATAAGAAAATTCATTCTGGTGAGAAACCATATAAATGTAAACAATGTGGAAAGGCCTTTGTTCGCAGTTATCTACTTATTGAACATCAGAGAAGTCATACTGGTGAGAAGCCTCATGAATGTAAAGAATGTGGAAAAGCCTTTAGTAGGGGCTCAAGCCTTCTTAAACATAAAAGAATTCATAGTAGCGAGAAACTCTATGATTGTAAGGAATGTGGAAAGGCCTTCTGTAGAGGCTCTCAACTTACACAACATCAGAGAATTCATACTGGCGAGAAGCCCCATGAATGCAAAGAATGTGGGAAGACTTTTAAGCTCCATTCTTACCTTATTCAACATCAGATCATTCACAGTGATTTGAAACCATATGAATGTAAACAATGTGGGAAAGCCTTCAGTCGTGTTGGAGACCTTAAAACACATCAGTCAATTCATGCCGGGGAGAAACCTTATGAATGTAAGGAATGTGGAAAAACCTTTAGACTTAATTCTCAACTAATTTATCATCAGACAATCCATACTGGTTTGAAACCATATATATGTAAAGAATGTAAGAAGGCCTTCCGTTCTATCTCAGGTCTTTCTCAACATAAGAGAATTCATACTGGTGAAAAACCTTATGAATGTAAAGAATGTGGTAAGGCCTTTAATCGTAGCGATCGACTTGCTCAACATCTGAGAATTCATACTGGTGTGAAGCCACATAAATGTAAAGAATGTGGGAAAGCCTTTACTCGTTGCTATCAACTAACTCAACATCAAAGATTTCACATTGGCGAGAAAGTCTTAATGTAATGAGAGTCAGAAAGCCTTTAGCCATGACACATCCTTTAACATTATCACTATTCTACCACCTAATGATATGGTAAAGATTAAATTATTTAACATAAAATATGATTGTTTGGAAGGGCATCTGGCACAGAGTATTTGCTTACTAAATACTGTATCATTCTTTAATGATAATTACTAGTATTACTATAAATAAATTCATGTGGAAGGAAGACCCTGTGAGCATATTTTAAAAATCTATCATCACTCATCCATATTTCATTTCAGATAATTAATTCTGGACAAAATCCCATAGAATGTTTTAAACAAGAAACTTTTTTATTCAAAGCTCATCCCCCTGAAGATTAATAATGGTAAGAAACCCTATGCTTTTGCTGAATATTGAGAGTATAGCTGTTGAAAAATTGGAAAGTGGTTTGAAGAAATTTTTTTATAATAATTTCTCTAATACAGATAACATACAATCCACATTCCCTACAATTCATGGAAATTAGAGATTAACAATGGGTAGCCAAAAGACAGATGTTGACTTGGAGAAGGTTTCCTCAAGTATTTGAAAAATGTCAAATTTACATAAAAGGTACAACAATGGTACAATGAAGGTTTATTTACCCTGTACCTATATTTAGTATCTCTCTCTCATGAAAATGTATATATACAGATTCACATATATCATACATTTTATATATATATATATATATATATATAATTTTGCTGTGCCTTCTGAGTGAATGTTTTAGGTATCACTTCACCTCTAAAAAAAGTCAACATACAACTCAAAAATACAACTGCCAGGTTTAAAGATTATCTTCTACATGACCACTAAGCCATTGTCACCTAAAAAACAACAGTAGACCTATAATATTCTGTAATATTCATCCCATTTACAGACTTCTCCAATTTTTAAAAGAATGTCTTTTGAAAGTGCTGGCTTTTTTTTTTTAAGCCTAAAACCAAACTAAGGTCACATATTTTATATGATTATGGCTATTGAGTCTCTTTTGGTCAAACACTTATCCTCTACCTGTTTTGTGACAAACTTTTTGAAGACTCAGGAGAAGTAACCATATAATGTTGCACATTCTTTATTTGTACTAATTTTTCTCTGAGTGGGCTTAAGTTGTTTCTCTATCCCTCGCATTTATTCTGAACTGGACGTTATGTCTAGAGGTTTGATTAGGTTTCAGATTAAACATTTTTGACATGATAACTTCATAGATAATATTGTGTACTCAATATTGTAAAATAACAGGTGGCACATAGTGAAGCTATGTTTGATCTCTTGATTCATGTATTGACCACCAGCTCTCTCCATTGTATCAGTACTAGATTTTTTGGGATTTTTTTGTTTTTTGCAGTTAAGAAGTAGCCCACAGAAAGTCACATCACCATTCCACTTAGAAATTTAAACAATCTTGAATATTTTTAAAGAAATTAAGACCAAAAAAACACCATCATCTTTCATATTTACCCACATATTTACCTTTTCACATGATCTTCATTCCTTCCCAATGATCTAAATTTCTATCTGGTATCATTTCCCTTCAGCTTGAAGAACTTAATGTAGCACTTCTTCGAGTATATGTCTGCTGGTGGTGAATTTTCATTGTTTCTTTTACTGAAATGCTCTGTTCCTGAAGGATTTTTTTTCTTGCTATAGAATCCTGGGTTTTGTTTTTTATATTTTTTAAAAAGATATTATATCACTGACTGCTGGCCTCTATAGGTTATGAGAAGTCATTTGAATTATGTTTCCTCTGTGTGTAATGTGTCATTTCCCTCTTTGTGCTTTCAAGATTTTCTTATTACCTTTAGTTTTCAGCTGTTTGAACATGATGTCCCTTGGTATAGTTTTCTTTGTGTTAATCCTTTTTGGGGTTCTCTGAGCCTCTGAAATCTGTACGCTCATGCCTTTCACTAAATTTCAGAAAACTTTGGCCATTATATCTTCAGATATTTTTTCTGCCCTTACTTCTCCTTCTGGGGTTCCAAGTAGTCATATGTTAAATCTTTTAATATTGTCCTACAGGTCACTGGCTCTGTTATTTATCTTCAACCTTTTTTTTTTCAGTTTTTCAGATTGGATAATTTCTATTGCTCACTGACTCTTTTTTCTGTCCTCTCAATTCTGCTGTTAAGCTTATCTATCAAATGTTTATTTCGAGATATTGCATTTTTCAATTCTAGAATTTTTCTTTAGTACTTTTTTATAGTTTCTGTTTCTTTACTAAGATTTCCTACTTCTTCATTGCAAGCATATTTTTACAGTACTTTTGATTACAGTGAATTTTTTCTATGTTGATTCATCTAGAAAATATGTAAAATTATTTTCATTAACTTATTAAAAGTTTCAGTTTCAACAAATGTTCCTACCCTTTTAGCTAGGTCACAAGAAACGCTTTTCCTTTCCTTGGAGTTTCAGGTTTTGTTTGTTCATATGCAGCATGATATGGTAAGAAAACATAAATCACATTGTCATTTGGGGGGATTTTGATTATGAAATACTTGGCAAGTATTCCTCTTAAGTCTCAAAGTTCAAAGTATGGTAAATCTTTGTAAAACTCTGTCATCATTCAACCAATGAGCACTGGCAAAAAACATAAGATAAATTCATTGTTTCCTCTTTCAACAGTTCCATAAAGTAATAATGATTCATAATATTTATGTGTATATTCTAAACCATTACTTTTCATACTGTGAAGCAAAGCAATTAGGAAGACATTAGTCTCTTGCCTTAAAATTCCAAGGAATCCACATTTTTAGTGTAACATTGCCGGAGCACTATCCATTGTGATAGAAATTATTTTTTTTCATACCTAGTGGAAACTATTTTTTGACATATATAAAAAATTCAAAAACATCTGTGCTATGAATCTGATTTTTTAGGCTGCAAATTGACAAAATTTCCTTTTGACTTGGAAGCCTTTTGTGATACAATGTACCCAGAGTATTAAATGGGCAGTATCTCATGTTGTACAACTCATCTGAAACTAAAGAAGAATATGTGTAGGTTTACAAATTTTAAGTTAATTGATTTTTGATATTGTTAGAAAGACCTTGTATTCTAAGGGCAGTTGTTGGGTGGCTTAATTGAAGATTCTTTTCACTTTTTATAAAATATAATTTTTAGTCTTTGCTCATAAAATCATAATAAAATTTCCACAATTAAACTAATCATTTATCTTGCTATCTCTCCATCTAAAATTTGATTCCTTTTTTTTGGGCAAGACCCAAAGCCATTTTATAGCTAGACAGAGTTATAAGCTCAGATTATGTTTAAAATTTATTTAAAGTTTTCATTGCACATTTAATTCAGATTTTAGGCAACTAATTTCACCTATTCCTATTTGCTTATCAAGAGGAAATTTCTCATCAAATTTACTAGTATTTGCTGAAAATGTCTCACAATATTTTCCACTTCATTAACTTAAATGTTCTTTTTTTCCATAATCAAACAGCTTTTTTGATTTGCTCTGTCACAGCAAATTGCAATTGTCATTCATCATGAAATTCACAGTATATCTTCTTCCAGTCTCTTATTTTTAACTATTCTGGCCATAGTACTTAATCCACTTGATTCTGCATCAGTAGTGTGCTTTCATTTTAAATTTTTTAAATGTACACACTTATTTTTTAAACCTAAAATGCTAATTTAATGATAATTAAAGTAACTTAGTTACAAATTATTTCCTTCATATCAGTGTAACTCATGTTGTCTTCATAAAATATTCAAATAAATACATCAATTTCTTGACACCAACTAGATCAGTGATGTGTTTATGTGTGATGTTAGACACAACATATACATACAACATGCACAGTATAATACAAATATCTATGCAGTGCAGTGACTAAAGTGAAATGCAGTCTTACCAAAACAAAGTTGTCAGTGATGGGAAAATATTTGGCACTGCTTCAGTTTTTAAATTTAGATAAAATTTAAAAGTCAGTTCTTCAGTCACACTAACCTTGTGTCTTACAAAGTTCAATCTGGTGGTAATACAGAATATATTAGACATAGTGTGGGAACGAGAGAAAAATACTGAATGCAAGGTATCTGCAGTATTATTAGTTATTGCAATAATCCAGATTGGACATAAGGAAGATCCACTACAGCTGTGATGGTAGAAAAATGTCAAATATTTTTCATATGTTAAGTAGAATCAGCAGGACATAGTGATCAATAGGATGGGAGAGACCAAAAATTCCAGAAAGATCTTAAACACTGTAAGGTATACCTGTAAGCCCACATTTCAGTTATCTAATTCCAGCCTGCTGGATATTTTGTACCAGTACTGGTGTCCAGGAAGTTGGGCTCCATCATTGGTATTTTAATTAGGGGCCAAGTCTGCTAATTATTCCCAATATTCATCTCCCTTTCTTCCAATAATAAAAGAACCATCTCTTTTTTATTTGCTCATTTGGAGCCACTTAGGATCATGATTGTCTTTCTCCACTTTATTGGTCCATGGATTTTCAGTTATGGCCAATTGGAGATAACTGGAATTGTGTGGCAGTTTGGGGAACCTTCCTTAAATGTGCCTGGTTCATCCCCTTTGCTTTCTTCCTCCATGCCTCCATTCTGCTGCCTGGATTTGAATAAGATGCACTGGAGGGCTTTGGAGCAGAGCCATAAAGCCAGGGTTAAACTTCCAACCTCCAGAATTTTATGTGACATAGAAAATTTTTCCTGGTTGAACCACTGTCCTTCTGGGTCTATCTGTCTTACTCACAGCCAAACATAATCTTTGCTTATGCACCCAGGTTGCTATACACTAAAATAGTCATCAAATCCCCCTATCTCATCTCAATCAAAAGCAGAGCAAAGATTTCCCGTGAATGTACCCTAAGTACTCATCCCCACCTCATCAAAAATTCAGAGTACCTGCAAGAGGGAGATACTTATATTTTCCTTCTAGGACATGTTTTTCTGGTAGGATGAGAAAAATGCTAAATGACATTTTGAAAGGTAGCATGAACTTTAGAAAAAAAGGTATTAGGGGATGCTATTTGAGATTATCCCTGGGGGAAGAAGAGCAGCCAAGTTAATTTACAGAACATTGTAAGATAAGAGCCTTAGTAAGATAAACGCTCCTAAGCTTGAGAAACAT